CCCCCCCGCTCACTGCAAATCAGCACATCATCCATCACCCCCCCTCCAACATAACCCTCTGTCCATCCGCTCTCTCGTTCTCCTCTGTCCATTCCTCACCCTTTTCACTGCCGCCTTGAAAATAAATTGAGCGTGTGCGTCGGTGTGCGAGTGTGCACGTGTCTGTGTGGGGACACGTGTGGCTGCTTCTGTGTCCTTTTTATTATCATGATGTTGTTTTTCCTGCAGAGCTGAGTGTAGGTGCGACAGTTTTCGGAGGATGTTTGGCCAAGCAGAGATATCATGTGTTCCCCTGGCAGAGGCACAAAGTAATAAAACCCAGTCAACAGAGGAGAAAATCAATGATCACACCCAGCACGAGAGCCACAATGGCTGTCCACTTCCTCATCAGCACCCTTATTATCATTTCATTGCCCCACAACAAGCCGTCAGCCGCTACCCTCCACCCGCACTGCTCAAAGCTTCCACTTGTTTCCCCCTTCCTCCTATTTTTACCTTTTGAAAGGAGGTGATTTTCTTTTAGATCACTTCTCGTGGCGTCTTCTCTTCTCTACTCGTCTTTTCTTTCTGACCCTGACAGGACGACCGCTGCGTATGCTAATGGAACGCCATCTCTAGGACACAAGTACCAATTAAACCGCGCAGCCTGCCTGCATGTATACGTCATGACATTGTTCGTGTGTAATGTCTAATTAAGATGCGTGTCAGAGATGCAGAGAGCGGTACGAGAAGTCTACTCGTTTGGGTAATGTGTGTGGAGAGCTCTCTCTTTGGGAGCCGTGTGCGATGACGTTCCTCCGACTGAAAGGCAAATGACGTTTGAAAGAAAAGATTGTTTTGTGTCACATGAAGTCGTACTTATCTTAGCACAGTTCTTGATTGCCCTGCAAGGTTGTGAAGGGGTGCATATAAACACCAAACTTCTCCTCTCAGACCAATACAAACAGTTGTCTTCTTTGTGCGGCTCACTATAATGTATAGTGTTGCTGTGTGTTTGTGTCCTCAGAGTGGCGCCAGGGGCGAATGGCTCGTGTGGTGTTGCAGGATGAAGACATAACCACCAAGATAGAAAACGACTGGAAGAGACTCAACACTCTCATGCACTACCAGGTAAAACACACACAAAGGCTTTCGTGAAATGTTTTCTCTTAATTAACTCTCGCACTTCACCTCTTTTTTTGTCACCAAGAAAAGGCTCATTTCAGTTCAGTCTCTGCCGCGGCTTTTATTATGGAAATTGCACCACACACTGTACCTTGCCAAACTTTGATGTTTCCTGCTGTTGACTTTTAGGCAGCCAATTTTCAGCTCCTCATTTGCATGCCCGTGTCTGGTGTAATCCAAGTGACTCGCAGAATAGAGGACAATTACTGTACAGGTGGCAGGAGAGATGAACTCTCAACGTCTCAGCCGCCACTTCTCCCTCCTCCCCCGAGAGAAGAAGCTGCTCGATGAAATCGCACTTGTTCTCGCCCCTCTGCCCCGTTGACTTCTACGCACATAACAGTTAGTCACGCTGTTGGCCGCCTGTCCCTTTCTCTTCAGACGTAGAACCTCCAGTCACACCTCACAAATTGAGGGTTCGTGAGCTCGCCTGTTGGCCCTTGTTAAGCAAAAAGAAAAGTGAAGGGTAGTTTTAGCATTTTTTTTTGGAGACCTTATGGCTGCTGAAATATTAAATTAAAAAATGAGACAAAGAGGCAGTGAGATGTAGCGTGAAAGAAAAGAATAAAACGGAGGAAGCAAAGAAAAAGGCCAGGCTGAATGTGAAGACAGCCATCTCCACAGGTCATGAATCTTGAGCTCGTGCTCAAGCAGCTCTCATTAGTCAGCCATCTGCTTAAAGACGGCATGAGGCCCAATTGAAGGCTACCTGGTCAAGAGCAGTGGCCGGGACAGAGATGCAGCTGTGGCTGGACACCGGAACCGTGGGGCTGGGAGACGTTGCTCCATCTTTATGCAGAAAAAGGAGATGAGGTCTGGCAGGGCTCAAGCTGTGACAGTGGGGGGTCAGTGTGAACTCCTGCCCCAGCCGAGTAAGCAGAATAATTTAACAGATGCAGGAGTCATTAGAGGAAGGGACACGTCACAGTGTCCTTCACAGGGGACTTGGCGCCATGCAGCCTCTTTCCTCTCCCTTGTCACCCTGCCTTTCTGTCCTCACCTTCACTGTCTCAACTTTCTCAGATTTTCTTTTTACACTTTTGCCTTGTTTACGATTTTTTCTTACTCATTCGGGGGCATTCTTTTTTGCCTTCAGTTCCTCTTTTCTCCTCTCTCCTCCCTCCCTGGCTCTGTGCACCTCTTCTTCTCTGGTCTCTGCAGTGCTTTAATCCTTGATGAAGCTGTGCGGCATGTTTTACGTCCACACCATAAAGGGCTCTTGTGTTGGTTTTTTTTTTTTGCTATTCTTTGCGTCGCAGCCTGACTGCCGTTGTTACCCGAGGGAAACACCACAGGGCACACAATAACACGTGTGTGGCCGCTTTACGTTTTCACTCAGTCAGTGGCAGATCTGAGGGCCACTATTGATCATGAATCTAAAGTTCCCTCCGCAGAACGGAAGGCCCAGCACAGCAACTTCAGAGGAGAGGGTGCCAGGCTGCAGGGCAACATGCGGTAGGGAGAGGAAAAGAAAGCGAGGGACACAGCATGGAGGAACAGGGCAGTGGTGGGTCAGAGAGATGAGAGTAGGATGAAGCGACATAGACACTTGTGCATCATTACTGTTTTTGATGAGCTGGCACCGGCCCCAGCGAGCCTGAATGTGTTTTTGTGTCGTACACCATGCCATCACGTTGGCAGCTCCTGCAGCACATCTGGCTCTCTATCACAGCGAGGGAGCACAGCTCATTAGGCCCCAGAGTGAGGGAAAAGCTTGAAGGCAAAAACAGGAAGTTGTAAAGTGGAAATATTGAAAGGGGGTCTGAAATATGCAGAATGAGACTGGGCAACAGCACCTTGAGTTTTTTGCTAATTCTCCCGTAACAGAGACACAGGAGCCAGACAATGACATTAAAATTCATGGGACTCACAGCATCCCAAGAAACCCCACTGGCTATTTACCACATGGGAAATAATAGTTTACATAAGCTAGATATGGAAATGTACACCTTCCACTACTCCTGAAATTAAAAACATAAATACACACATTAAAAATGAGTTCAAGATCTTTATTCAAAACCTTTGCATTCATCGTCAGGGGACTAAACTCCCATCCTGCTCTCTGTTTTAGTATTTTTTTACAGTCGCTCTTGCGTAGATAAAGAAAGAAGACAAACACACTCATGTACACACGGTACATGCAGATCTATTCTTCACAGGTTTACAGAGAGACAAATACAGGAGAGATAAAACCCTCTCAAGACTTTGTCTCAGCTTTCTTCTTTACCGTTATCATTTCTATCATCTTGAGACATGGTTCGTTGGAACCTCGCTGCTGCCGCTGGATAGTGTCCATGAACTTGAGGAGTCCCACAAGTACAGGTATCAGGCGTCTCGTAGTTTTGAGAAATTCTCATAAACAAGACATTATCATGCAGCAGGGTTAAGGTAAGCTATGCGGAGGCTTTTATGAACACTTGTTACATGCATTTGTTCACTGTCAGTAAACGTCTTACTCTTTCACTTTGGCTGAGACTGCATCAAAACAAAAAGTAAAGTCAGAAAACTTCCTTCCCCCGCCGCCCGCTGACCTCTGTGTGTCCTCTCCTCTGCGGTGGCGAAGGAACAGGCAGAGCAGACAGTGATGACCACACCAGGAGAGCCTGCCAGCGAGATCCTGTTACCCACACTTGCAGACATCACTTGGGGCGTTTTGGGCTATTTTCAACGGCCCCGGACACAACGGATACTACTACAATGCTATCTGTTCATTAATCTAAAGCTGTTGCTGTCTTGGCAAGATGGTTCAGCGTGTAAACCTGGACACAAATCGCAGACAGGAGGGAGGATAACAGATTTTGGGAGATAGAATATTCCCTGAGTAAATATTTTCAACAAATATTGTTTTCCATTGAAGAAGAGAGACGTATTTGTTGAATCCTGCACTGCTGCTGCTTCACCCTGAGTCATATCTGTAGTTTGTGAGAACTTTCACTGATTCCTCTCTGACATATTTCATTGTTTTTAAACCCAACTTAAATTCTGTCAGTCTGTCCTGCACACTGGCCTTAATCTCTTCAAACGACACCATGAGAGAGAGTAACATTCACATGCAATCGTCCATTATGCATTTCGTCATTCCTGACGACTGTTGCTCATGTGCACATGCTGGGTGTTTCCAAGCTACTGGGCAGAGCATGATTTGCATCAGGATCTAAGGGCACGAATCCAGAAGTGATGGGACACAGAGGGGACTGAGGCCAGGACCAGGGCTGTGGGTTGTGTTAGGAGCTCTGCGAAATGAAAGATAGAGGCTGACCACACTCTGCTGTCTGGTCAGCTCTACACTGTCTAATGGAAGGTCTTATCACAGGCGGGGCCCACAGCCCTTATCATACCTGACTACTATCAGCCCCGCACTGGATTATCCCTGAAGGGCGAATCTGCACGCCTTCAATCATTTACTCTATCACAAGGACCCATCTCTGCTGTAGCCTCTCTGTCAGCCATAAAAAGCAGAGAGAGAGAGCGAGAGAGAGATGGAGGGAGGTGTAAAAAGCAAAGGGCTGCAGAGAGGCTATTTCATGCTCTCCAGGGAAAATGTATCATAGAAACTTCATGGAAGTCCACATCATTGGTGTATTAGAGTTGGTCTGTGCAAGAGGCAGCTATAGGTTGGAGGGGTCGTAGAAACTAGGTTCAGGAAAGCAGAGAAAATTGGGAAGGAGAGCGAAGGGTCGGAGACCTTTAGCTGTGGGTGGGGGAAGGGGTTATGCCGACCATTTTCATTTCTCTTCAAGAGGTCTGGGAGCCAGAGCTGCATCGGTAAGAGGATTCGTCCAGATTTCATCCTCAGCTTCATTTGTCTCTCCAGCATGGCCAGTAAAGCCAGATGGCAACTCCAACTACAGCTGAGATTAGTTTGGGAAGAGTGGGACAAAGGGGTGAGGACGAGACTGGGGGGGAATTAGGGGCAGTTTGCTCTCAAGAGAAAGGAGGAATTCAGTAATTGTCCTTTCCACATCCAGCGGCTTATTTTCTAACAAAGGATGTTGACGGAAAACAACAATTCCTGCTAAAACATATGAAAAGAAGAAATTTCTCCCTCTTCTATGGACTCTTTGAGGTATTCCTTTCGGAGCCTGGCATTTTACTTTTGTTTACGTCTCCACCGCAGGCTCATCAGTTTTTCTTCTGTGCAGTGTCTGAAGCAGAAATCCCTCCTCTGGGTTTGGCTGTAAATGCCAGCCAGCAAGCTGTTTGTTGTTTTTAGCTCCCAACAAAAGAACTGCAAGTTTTGTTTGCTGCGTTAGTTGCCGTGTTAATGCTCGCACATTAAAGATTGATTCGAGTGAAAGTGGCATTTCATGCATGGTTGGGTTTTGGTGAAGAAGCGTCTTATTGCATCTTAGAGATTATCTGAAGTGACTGGAGGACGTCATGTAAGGCCAAGTCTCCTTTGTAAATATAAAACCCATCAGGGAGAAGGATGAACCTCAGTATCTGACTCTTTTTTGATGACACACCGTCTCTTACACAGCCTCCTCTCTTCATCTTTCTCTTTTGACTCTGATTCACTGCATCTCTAATGCAGTCATTATACATATATATGCAGCCTTCTAGTCTCTCTCCTCCCTCGTCTCTTTCTCTGAGCATCTTATCCTCGTTTCAAACCTCACAACATGTCTCTAATGTTTGTAAAGGGTGATGACAGTGACAGGCATGTGGAGTGCAGCCATCATCGCACCGATGGGGCTGTGGTAGCGACCAGCAGGGAGGACAGATATGACAGCGAGGGATGGGTAGCAGAGGGAATTGGGAAACACTTTGTTTTCTTAAGATTATTTACTTGGAACCTGACATTCCGTCTTGTAATCTATACCATTACTACAAATGTGGTTTTTTTCCTGTTTTCATTCAAGAGCATGGTCTTTTAGTTTGAGAGAAAAACTCAAGACCCTGCGCTTGCATTCACTTCGCACTTTGACAGATTTCCTGCGCACCAGCTCTTATCGCGCAAAAATGCTGCTTCTGAACACACGTGAAGAAGAGAGGAGAAGAGCTGAAGCTGGAGTGCAGGAAATCTGTCCACCAAAATATCTGAGAATCTAAAAGTGAAATAAAAAAAGAGGAAAAATCCACTATATTCTAATTATAGCATGTAAATCATTGAAACAATATGATACTAGCATGTTGCATATGTTTTTTCTCACGCAGGTGTCGGACCGCTGCGTTGTGGCTCTGGTGCCGAAACAGACCTCATCATACAACATCCCCACCTCGGCCAGCATATCACGCACCTCCATCAGCAGATACGGTGAGCTTACAGGCCAGATTGTTCTTTTCATACTCTTGCCAGATTTTCTCTCCTTGAGGGTCGGCTCTGCTTTGTGCTGCCAAGGGGTGGGGGTGGGGGGTTCGGGGGGGTTGCAGTCTTATTCACTCTCCAACAGCGTTTGCTGCAGTTAACTGTGCAGCTCAGGTCCAAACTCAGTTGGAGGGCACAAGATTGGGAAAAAAAATGAGAAAGAGAAAGAAATGAAGAAGAGGTGCAATCGAGAGAAAGTCATAATGTTATCGTAATGATGATGCAATACACAGCAGCCTGCTGGGTGCAGGTCGTGCACTACCTATACACACATAAGGATAAATACGCCATGACTGCAAAGATAAAAGACATGACAGCTCCCGAAGATGAAGCCAAAATATCTTGATCTCCTCCTGGTGGCTCGCTGAAGTATAGACCCTCATAAACCCTGCCTCCTCCATGTTAGTAAATGATAGTCTCTGCTTCTGTCATAATAGTTGTGAGGAACAGCTGACACTGACTTTGGATTGGTCGTCTCTAAATAACTACTGTGCAGACTCTGGCTCGTTATCGGTGCAAGATGTCAGCGCTTAAATCCAGGACATTGTAGCATCGTAATTGTACATTTGGAGGAAGTGGAGACACGTTGTCCATCTTTCTTCCACAGTCACCAAAATACACCCTTTCTTCAGATGTGCCTGTAGTTGGTGCCGCTGGGTGCCAACTCTGGTCCCGAGCCAGACACACACAGCAGCACCAGGCAACTTGTGATTGCTAATTATTCTCTGTGAATGGTACTTCACACAAACAGAAACAGATAAGTGAGCAAGGCCAATTATCAGGATCGGGGATGGAACGTGAACACTGCTTTTAAACTGCCGACCACAAATAAAACAACTGAGTTTGCAGCATCCTTTTCTCTCTGAGCAATTACATTGACTCTGAAGCTGGAGGTGCTCAGTGAAAGCGTTTTATCTCCATGGTGTGTTCTGTAAAATAATGTGGAGTGACATTTGCAACGGAGCTGATGAGGAATATCCATGATGACCTTTAGAAGACTGCAGAACACTTTGTTACTCTCTTAAACAAAGCACTTACTGTTGTGAGGAAAGACAGGAAGACGATAGAAAACTAAAGCTTTGTAAACAGATGGAAGTGGAAGAATCCTTCAGGGCATTAAGATGTTATTTCTGCTTAATCTGGACGTCACACTTCCAATATCTCAGTCATTGGAATCTGTCGTGAAATTGCAGGAGATTGAGCTCCAGCGAGGTTTCAGTCTCCTACAAATCTCTCGTATTTTGTTGTTTTTTATTTGTTGCGGTTGCTCAGACACTCGAGTTGCATTTGCACGGCAGAGGAAGCAGAAGCTCTGCTGGCATGAGCCTGTCCCTCATCAATCACTGTTTGACACAGCAGGCACAGCTGCACCTCGACACCTGCTGATGGATTCATACCAATTTAACGTTCAACACTTAGCATCTTGACTCAATTTACACCACTAGCACCCACCCACTCCTCCCTGCAGGCTTCAAATCAGCCAACTCCCTGCAGCCTGAGAGAAGGGACTGTGGGTCATATAGAGTTAGGGGACTTGGGAAAAGGCTGAGGGTGCAGGGTGGATGGAGGGGATGACGAAATAGCAAGGCACTAAAATCCAGTGACTGGATTAAGACGGGATTTGGGACCTCAATCCACCCTGTATACAGCCACGTACATCTAAAGCCCCCTTTCTCAGGCCCTGGTCCCTCGGGGCCACTCCAGAGGTGCAAGCCGGTCTTACTTGGAAGGTGTAAGTGGCTGTAACGGCGGCAAAAAGCTTTGTTGTTGCGCCGCTCAGCTTTTGAAGGCAGGTGAGAAAGCTTCTCGTCGAGATCCTGAATCTCTGGAGAGCGCGCTGCCAGCAGTAGATGCCTGCTAATTAGGGAGACTGAAAACCAGCATCATTCAGACTGAGTGAAGAAGAGCAAGGAGGCTGGAACATGAGAACCGAGATGAGGAGTGTGTACGTATGGATGAAGGATGGTGGCTTCAGTGCTTAACAAATTAAGGATCTTTTGATCCATTGATTAGAGTGCATATTTCAACATGGCGTTGGCACAATGTGTCAGGGAACAGCCAATTATGACGGCTTTTAAGAGGAGCCAGACACAGAGGCAGGGATGATGTGAGCAGGTAAACGGAACAAAAACTGCAATCATCAAACAATTCGGGATGGACATGGAGACAACAGAATAAATATGTTGTTTTCTGTAAATGCCGCTCTCCTGCACGTTCTATCTAATGTAGGAAAACTGGTTTTACTCACCTTGTGTCACCAAGGATACCAATATCAAGAGGAATGGCACAAATCAATGCAACGCCAGGCAGCAGCAACTTCTCCTCCCGTTCAGTACTTCTTGTTCTAAGAAATTATCCACCACTGCATTTCCCCTCCAGCCTGGCTTAGAGCAGGATTCAGCTTTGTAATGAGTTACAAAGGGGAGATGGAAATGAGAGAGGAGCCGTGTGTGTGTGTGTGTGTGAGTGTGTAAGTGTATGTGGGTCTGCTTTTTTAGCTGTATGCTTAAATTACATAAAGGGAAGCTTTTGTAATCACAGTCATTTAGTCTTACCGATAATTCTTTTTCTGTTTTCCCGGACAGACTCGTCGTTCCGCTACACGGGCAGTCCCGACAGCCTGCGCTCGCGTGCGCCCATGATCACCCCCGATCTGGAAAGCGGTGTGAAGGTGTGGCATCTGGTGAAGAACCACGAACATGGGGACCAGAAGGAAGGGGACCGCGGCAGCAAGATGGTCTCTGAGATTTATCTGACCAGGCTGCTAGCGACCAAGGTACGTCAAGATTCTCCTGTACATTTACTATCTGTCAACGTTTTTATTAGCACGTGCTCAGTTCTCTTAGCATTTATCATGACGTTGCTGCATTCAGGTTGTGTTTCTGACCACCGTTCCGTTTTCTCCCAGGGTACACTTCAAAAATTTGTTGACGATCTATTCGAGACGTTATTCAGCACAGTCCACAGGGGGAGCTCTCTTCCCTTGGCGATCAAATACATGTTTGACTTCCTGGATGAGCAGGCGGACAAACATGCCATTCATGACACAGACGTACGTCATACATGGAAAAGCAACTGGTAAGAAGACTGTACACCATGATGTAACTCCTCTTTCATCACACGACCAACTCAGATAATGTCTTTCTGTCTCTCACCGATTCTCTTTGTCTCCCTCCTCCAGCCTTCCATTGCGTTTCTGGGTGAACGTGATCAAGAACCCGCAGTTTGTGTTTGACATCCATAAGAGCAGCATCACGGACGCCTGTCTATCTGTCGTGGCTCAAACCTTCATGGATTCCTGCTCCACATCAGAGCACCGCCTTGGCAAAGACTCCCCATCCAATAAGCTGCTCTACGCTAAAGATATCCCCAATTACAAGAGCTGGGTAGAGAGGTAGGAGCCAGTGCAGCTTCAGTCTGATCCCCTCCCCGTCTCATCTTTTTTGCATCCTCTTAAAATAAAAGCTGTGATATTTGGGGAAATTGATTCAGGATTCTCTTTAGTCTTGCCTTCTCTTCTCAGCCAGATTCTGTTAAAGTCTTTTGTGTCAGCAGCCATGCATTGTTAGTGGAAGTGATACTATGACTTAAATATGTGACTATAAAGAATGTAGGTCTCGAATGAGCCATACTGCGACTCAGTGGGTCTCTAATGTCGCTCCTCGTCCTCAGGTACTACGCTGACATCAACCGGCTGCCATCCATCAGTGACCAGGACATGAATGCATATTTGGCAGAGCAGGCCAGACTCCACTCCACAGAGTTCAACATGCTCAGCGCGCTCAACGAGATCTATTCCTACGTCAGCAAGTACAGCGAGGAGGTCGGTGAAGTCTGCATACACACACGTATTTGCTCACACACACACACACACACACAAAGATTAGCAAAGTTGAGCAATAGAACATTCTGCATCCTTCCCCTTAATGTATGAGGGAGATTCATACAAGTGGGAGGATATGTGAAAAAGTAGTAGTAGTCTCAGAAAGGTTGTTGGAGAAAGAATGCAACAGAAAGAAAGCAAATGAAGGAGGACATATGACCATTCTATGATATTTTATAACATCTATCTAATAATTCCAGAAATCTCTGTCTGTTTCTTCAAGGGAAGTGCAACGATTTGAACATTTGATATGTTCAATAATAATAAACTTTGAATGAACAGGAGACCAAGGTCACAACGACACAATAAATCCAGACCAGGGTTTTCTGGTTTCACAGAACTCTGAATAAACAGAGGTGAACAGCTCTTTGTGCAGCAGCGGTGGTGCAGCTTTAAGGTTCTGCAGACTGAGTCCTGCAGCCGGTCTTTATCTGCTGAGGCCCAATTACTTCAGGTCACAGTTGCATTTTCCAAAAGAAAACTGCAACCAGGATCACCACAGCCTCAACAAACAGCACCATTCCAAACAGGCAGGTTTACAACGAGCAATACACCGGTGTAAGAAACACCGAACAAAGATGCTGTTATTGTTGATTAAATTTTACTTCTAACATTTACGTCTATATTATATTAAAACATCATCCATATTAACACCAGCTCCATCCATTCTCTTCTCTGTTTTCTCGCTTTTTGCCTTTTCCATGAAATCACTCCTGATGCATTCAAAATCCAGAGTCCACCAGAAAGGTTATATTATATCACATTATAATTAATCATGTAACAGGTTTTTTCTCAGGTGCTGTTGAACCAGTGCCTCTTATTAAATGTTTTGTTGTATTGTTAAGTATTTCTATGCAGTATAATTTCTTTTCTGAGCTCGGTGCTCTCCTCCTGTGAACTCCACACTGAGCTTCACTTCACTTGCACATTTTACCTGGAGGGCAGTCCCAGGCACTGATTGCATAATGAGCTCCTGCCTTAGTGAATCAGCCGCTAATTACGGGCAGATTGTGAGCACAAATTGAACGAAAGGCACGCCACAAATTGTACCCACACTTTAACGTATGTATAACTTGCCCTTGGTGTTGGCAGACTATTCATATCTGGGGAAGGTTAGTGAGGTCAGCTCCGAGTCTTCAGTAGACTTCCCCAAAGCCCAGAGGTGTGGTGAGACCTGAGCTTAACAAGGCAGGGTGTCTGATCTATGAAGGAGAAAGTGGGTGTCTATACTCTCAGCGTGTCGCGCCGTCCTTTCTCCTGTGCTGAGTTCAAATGAGCCACCTGTTATATAGGGCATAGAATCATATAGGCCACACAAACACACACACACTGTTAGATCGCAGGAAACATAGAAATGGAGGGAGGAAGATAGGGAAGAGCATTCATGGAGACATTCTACGTCTAATGTCAGATCCTCCTCTGGGAAGCATTAGCCTGACCTTTATGTTGGACCACAGTATCTCTCTCTCTCTCTCTCTCACTCTCGGGTGCACACATACAGCGGGACAAGTGCAAACACATTCATTTTGCACATGCACCTCATCACTCCTATCCAGTGTCTCCAATCTCTTCAGATCGCAGTGTTTAAAAAAAAACCTCATCCAGCCCCGTAAACGCTCGTTCACTCTTACCCCACCCTTCACAAAGGGCTGTGTGCCGGGCGAACCAGGCCAGAGCTGCAGCCTGCTTAAATGGATTTGGGAGAAGGTGGTGGGAGCTGCACCTGCATACAGTGCCACAGATTAATAATAGATTGCTATCTGGCCCGATGAGGAGGAGGAAGCGCTGTGCTTGTAGCTGCCAGACTTTAAGAGCACTTAAGCAGATGAGTGGAAGATGGTAGGTGGGCAGGCAGAGACCGTGTTCTGCAACAGGACTGGCAGCAAACAAAGGTTCGCCGTGCAAAATAAAAGACAGCGAGAACGCTGCTGACATGTTTTTCCCGACAATAAGCAGGCGGTTCATTTTTACTGCATAAACGGTGGAGGCTCGTACAACCGGCCAACGCCAAACCCCTGAAAATTAATATTGTGATCGTGACTGGCTGAAGGACAGAAAGACTTAGATGACATTCCCATCAACAGAGACATGATACACCGCATAAAATGTCCCAAAGCACCAAAATAAACATAGTACTGTGTTGTTTTACAGCAGTGGATACGATGAGAGGTGGTCTATACAAACCAGATATTTTATTAATATTTATTACAGATTTATTTTCCTACCTCTGAATAAATAGGGGACAAAAAAACTGAATAAGTAAAGGAATAATAATATTTGTAATCTAAAACATGACCCAACATAGAAAACTTCCCCCCTCATATTTATTCATAATGAATCTCTTACTTCAGAATAATTTAAATAACATATTGCATAAGCAGGACCAATGAATTATTTTGTTTTAATTATAAATTATTGAATCGAACACTGCTTGCAGCGCAGTGTAAACTGATGTGAAATTGATCTAATGTAATAAACATACATAGCAGCAACCCATTGTTGAAATAACGGCTGCGGCATTTGGATGCATCCATTTCAGAGGTGTGGAAGACACATTGTAATACATGTATTTTTTTTTTACACTTGTACATTCATATTAAAGACCTTTTCCATGTATGTTGGTGTCAGCCTGACACAGATTCGTCCTGACAAGGCAGACGCCAGATGAGAGAGATGAGAGGGGAGCTTGTCTCAATCCCTTTTGAACCCTACTTGACAAATGCCAAATTTACGAGATGGGGCTGAGAAGATAAAACAGGAAAAGCTAATACACAAATAATTCTCAATGTTGTCGAAGACAAAGGCGGTGATGTAATTCTTTCATGTGATGTCTGTACGGAAACATAAAAATCCACGCCGCTCTGAAAAAAATGGAATTCTAGGTCTTAAAACACCAAAGCAGCTGACGCCCATTACTCTCTATTAAATGTCATCAGATCTAATTCTGTGAATCATCACACACACACACACACACACAGAGCTGACATTACATTGACTTACATTGATTTTCTTTTGACTTAAACCATGATTACACCTAAACTTAAACCTTAACTTTAACCTAAACATGTCCTTAAACTTTTGTCCACCTTATAATGTAATAATATATGTTGCGGTGACCCAATTAGGAAAACACCTCCCCACAAAATGGCGGTATGAACAGATTTAGGTCCCAGCAACACACACACACACATCTTTTATGGCTTTATCTGACCAGTTCTCTTGCTTCTGTACAGATCACAACTGCTCTGGAGCAGGACGAGCAGGCGAGGAAACAGAGGCTCGGCTACAAGGTGGAGCAGCTCATCTCTGCGATGTCCCTCGAGAGCTGAGAGTGACCCCTACTGACGAACAGAGGGAATGAGGAAGAGAGGACCACAGTCTCTACTGCACCTCCCACAATGGTCCCACATTACTTACCTCTCATCGTGGGGGGGGCCTCAACCACGAGCCGGACCTGGGATCTCTTGTATTCACGGCCCGACAGACATACAACTGCATTCATTTGTAACACTCCCTCTTTCCTTTCATGAGCTAAGGGCCCACAGACTGAGACAGAGGCCCCTGCAGCTGCAGCTGAAAATGACACGAGGAAGGAAGGTCAGCAGAGAAGACAACAACATGGCTTGTATTTATTTTGCTTTTGTTTTATTTTTTGATTTCTCAAAGGAAATTTTCTCTCAGTTTAACAGGAAAGTGGGTGTGTGTGTGTGTGCGTGCCTGCATGCGTGTGTGTGTGTGTGTTCTGAGGACTCCTGCAAAGACTGTGAGAGCAAATGAAGAAACTGATTTATTCTCTACTCAGTCAGAAACTCTCATCTGAGTGTGAAATGGAGACAAAAAAGAAGAAGCGAGAAGCACAGGAGCAAACTTCACGTTGGACAGCTACGCTCAGATTTCTCAGATTTTATTTTTGTACTTGTACATGTGAATATTATCAGTTGCAGTTTGAATAGCCACCCAGGATGCTGTGAGCGTCGTTGTATAGAGACATTGTGACGCTGCATCGGGGTGATATGGTCGTATTACGGGCCATGATCCATGTCTTCTCTCCCTCCCTGCCTCCTCGGACTTGATGCTTCATGTGACTCGGACAAAACGTCTCTGCTCTTTATCCAATCAGAAGTGTACAGGAAACCCTGTGCACGCATGTCATCGAAGAGTCAAATGAACTCCACTGGTGGTGGACACAGCTCAGCCAGCATGCTTGCACCTAAACTGAGGATGAAGACAGATGAAGTCCCTCGTGTATTTAGGAGATGACCTTGAATCAGCATCCCTCTGGCGTCCAAGGCTTCCTCCAGCAGTTAGATCATCTGTGTATGTTCCGGTCGATACTTGCCAATCAGTGTATGTGAATGTACAAAATGTTTTTATTGTTTTGAGTGTATGTCTATTTGAGTTTTATCAAAACACAAAGGGACTCAGTTGACCTGAGCTCCGTAGATATTTTCAGAGTCAAGTGTCAACTGTCCTGACCCCAACCCCGTCTACCCGCTAGGTTTATCATCCATTGTCGCTTTTCCGCTAGAGGAGAGTGATTCGTCGAGCAGTTAGTACAAACCAGCGACTGTGTGTGAAGATAGATGACAGGTCTTCACCTTCTGGACTTAGCTGAAAAATATTCCAGATACGGGCGCTGCCATCTTGCGCTGGTCGTTTGGAGCCAGAGTCTGCGTTCGTTGTGTGGAGCCGCTGTATCAAGGTCCCACCGATACATGCGCTCGACCGATCGCACGTCAGTCTCAGCTGCCGCATGACTGTTTTATAGCGTCAAATAGTCTCTTAGTGGAAAGATGAACACCCCAACTTGAGAGAAACATTTGAAAAACATTTATCTAATGTGACTTTTTATTTTGGTCCGTGTCCCATCGTCTAACATGGAGGAGGCCGGATTTCCGTCAAGTTGTCCATCTCCACAGCATTTAGAGTCCAATTGGTGAAACGCTCCACTGTATCTGTGGGAAACTTTCTGTGTCCTCTGCATCCGATTGCACATCACAATGTTTTTAAGGGTCCATCTTTGATTTTATCAAGTGCCAACGAGTCCTGCCAGTTCTTGTTGGCCAGTTGAGACGGCAGCTGATGGGAGATCTAACCCGACCACCGTCCATGTCTTCACAGGGACAATAAAAAGCCTATAGCTGCGTGGGTCTACTTTGACCAAGTGCCAAAAGATCCCGTCCTTTCCGATTCTTCGCTAATGTGTCAAAAATCGGTTTATGCTTTACAGAGGGAGCCAAGCTCTCGTATTTTGGAGTGTGGAGCCGGTTGAAGTTGAAGCGCGTATAACTGGAGTTTAAAAAGTCACGAAAGGTACGAAACCTAAGCAGAAGAAAAGAGGAGGTGTCAAAGACATAAACACACACACACACACACATAAGACAGAGTATGTTTCATGTTTTGTGGATGCGTCTTCAGACTTAAACCAAACAGTCACCAGCTGAAGGGCCGATGTTACCTTCCAACCTTCTAGCTGGACGACAACAAACTGTAGATTCCGTCCGTGTGGATTTAATTTTCCTCTCAGATATATATTTGCTTGTTGTTTACATCAAGTACTTGAACATATGTAGTACTAAAGGTTTGTACAGTGCAGTACTGCAAGTTTGTGAGTGGGCGTGTGTGTGTGTGTGTGTGTGTGTTTGCTGAGAGTGTGAAAAACACCATGGGTGGGTGAAAGGTGCTTCTTTTTCTCTGTGGCCTTAGATACCCACCTGCATGTTCACGATCTTATTAGTCCTCCACTCCGGCACATTTCTCTCAGTGCTTCTCGGAGCCCAGTGGTTTTTCAGTGGTACCTGGCCCAGGCGCTCTGCTTCCAGATAAAGTAAGAGGAAAGGTGAAGAGGGTACGGGCCCGGCTCAGGCAGACATCGCCTCGCTCAACGCTCAGTTTGCCTGCACTGTTTGAAGAGAAGTGTCGAGAAATGAGGGAGAGAGAAAGCGAGAGAGGGAGAGAGAGAGAGAGAGAACCCCTTTAGCTCTAGTTTCCTGCTCCGGCTTTGAAGCTGCTCTTTGATGTGAGTCAGTTGTGTGCACAGTGTGATCAGGAGATGGAAAAAAAGGAAAAAAGAAACATCAAACTCGCAGCCAAGGAGAAATGTAAGATGAGGTGATGATTGACGCACTGTTCCTGAGTCTGGCCAGTGGGGGGCAGAAGTGGGTAAGAGTAGTTGTATTTTGCTCCTTCGTCTGAAAAAGCACCTTTTTCGCTCCCTGACCCCAACATGTAGGTACACAACAGATTCAGAGCGCATACACATGAAGCTTCTTCCGTTCGATTAAGGTGTCTTCCCAATTTCAGCGAATAGAATTGTATCCTCCTCATACCTCACATTGCTTGTATGGAGTAATGCTTTTTATTAATCATTTTAACCGGAAGTAAATGCCTTTTCCTTTTCCGAGGGATGAACTGTAGGTGTGTTAAAGTCCCTTCCGACACTTAGCGGAGCTTCCCCTGTCGTAATCAGAGACACGCAAATTAGTCGAGAGTGTGTTTGATTTTTCTCTCAAAGATCGTTTATATCATCATTTCCTCTCGTCTCGTGTGAGATTTTTGCATGCGGTATATTTCATGCTTCAGTCCTGTGTGGTTTTTCCACGTCGAGTCGAGCCGTCAATAGTCGAGCTGCGATTCTTTTCCGAAAGCCCATTTGTACGCGTCTTAAATCACAGCTGAATGCACCTTTTTTTTTGTGAAAGAGATTTTTTTTGTGGTTTGTTTTTGTTACTTATTGCTTGTTTCCATGCTGTGCACTTGATTCTGGGAACCTTTTCAATTCAGTTTGAACTGAGAAGAAGGAAGTATGTTTACTCTTTCTGCAGCGCAGAATAAAGTTTGACTGCCAGTAGTGACATGAGGAGATGCTCATAAACACGACCTCATTCCAGCTCGAGCTGATTGCAAATTGAACATGATATGTGCACCTTTTTTTTTTTTTTTTTTTGCTCTCGGTGTAATGTGTTGCCGCAGAGATGTTGTTGCGGTTATTCATCATTCCTTACAGAAAACAAAGCATTTTTGTTGTTTGCTTCATGGCGTCAGACTGAGGAACTGAAATCCAGATCAATGTAATAATCTCAATTCAAAATATCACCAAGTATAAAATGAGTATCCTTCCATTTTAAACACGTTGTAAACAAACCCTTTTTAGACACTGGAGTTCTGTAAAATAGTAATTACTGGCAATGATGATGACGATGATGATGATGATAATAATAATGGCTGTCTGTTCTTCTTGTTTTATAAAAGTGTTGTGAAAATTGTAAGAAACTTAAAGTATTTAAAAAAGTTTGTTCTCTTGTTTTTTATTTGCTTTGGTTTTGTTATGATAATATATTATTGTGTACCTATTGTAAATATGAAGCACACCTATTTTGCAAGCCAAGGATTCACTTTGTACTGTTGTTATATATAAATAAACTTTGCTGGTTAAAAATTGCATAGAACTGAAATCTGTTTCCACGTCTTTTTGTATTTATAGACAAACAGAGAAGAGAGAGGTGACACTCTGAGCAGTTCAGAGAGTCTGAAAATTTCTGCCAAATTTGATTGGGATTCTCTCAAGGCATTGTGGGATTTGTAGTTCATTCATGTTGTTAATCATGTCACAAGCGTTTTAATATTGTAACAATGTGTATTTTGGTCTGAGATCTTATTTTCTCCTTCGAATTCAATGTGCATTTTTAGAAGTTTACTCATTTACACAACAGAGATCCTCTGTCCTCTGAAAACACAATTCACACTGAGTATAAAAATGTTTGTGTTGTGTTCGTTTGTGCAGATTTGACTGAGTTAGGACACAGAAGAAGAAGGAGCGTGCGTCTGGTTCAAATTGCACATTTCTGCACTGAGGGTCTGGGAGTGCTGCAAATTGCCTCGTTGAAGCTGCTGCTGCTGCTGTTGACTGTTGATGAAGGAGCCGAACCACAATATCTAGTATCCTGTTGTTTCCAGCGCTGTGGTATTATATCTGTCACTTTCCCCTCACACCTCACATCAGGAGGGAGAGACTCACAGTTTGAAAACCTCTGTCCTGAGGCACATGTCTGGCACATCCCCAAACTCCTTCAGTGTATGTGGGCGCCAGGGAGACAAAGTTTATCGACAATCACCTGCTGCTCTGAGTTCATCCTCTATTTCCCACTCACTTCCTCTCCTGCCCAGCAGCTAACGGACTGACCCACGGCTGTAACATGCTGAATGGTGATAGTTTGTCTTCATGCAGCTCCTCTGCAGCACCACGGGGCCATGCAATCACATTAGGTTTCTGCTGGAGGTTTGGGTCAGTCAGTTTATCCGGTGTAGAAATGGCCCTGAGGTCAGCGAGTCTGCAGAAAGCGACTGCGGATCACCACTGAGGCACAAGTGCAAGTGCTCATACTTTCCAATAACTGTCCACCGGTTGGATGCCCCGTTTTTATACTAGAGAGAAGCAGTAGACAGACACTATATAGGTGAGTGGGCAGAGAGAGAACTAGGAAAGAGGTTAAAACAGAATCAGCTTAATTTGCCTTTTATAAATACATTAGTACATTTTAATTAATTAAACAATTAACAACAGATCACAAGAAACTAGCAGAATGAGGTGAACACAATATACAATAGAGTTAAATCTCTATTCGTCATGAATTAATTTATCATCGTCATTATCGGTTGACTTCCTCCGATTTACAAAAATAAAGCTCCGGATGAGGATGCCACCATCTTGCATTTGTGACAGGTCGAGGTCCCGACGATGCACATGCTCAACCAATCTCAGTCAATCCAGATGTTTTGGCTTCACTTTCGGGTCGCTGTCATATCATCCATCTTTATCTACGGTGTTGCTCAACATCCCAGTGCACGAAGCGGTTTTCTACATCTTGAGTCCCTTGGCCGTCCCTTCTCGTGTATTTCCTCTGGGGAAGGTCTAATCCCCGCTGCTTCTAATCCTGTACTGCTGGGACCAATTCAAATTCACGTGGGACTTAAGGCCCTGTAATGCCTTTACAAGTAGTTGCGTAAAGCTGACATCCCATTCGTTCTGGGTAGGATTCTCAGCCTGGATTACAAGGCAAATTCTGAAATAATTAATGTGTGTTGGCAAAAGAGGATGCCAGGGGTGACTTCAACCCCATTTCGAAGAATAGTCGCGTATTAATTTCACAATGAAATGATTCCTGACACTTTGTTGGACCTCGGTGCTTCTCATTCTGATCCGTCATTTTGTCACCTTGTGTTTAATCGTGAACAGGTTTTGGATCGACATCCTTTGTGGTATTTGCAGAAGTGTTCATATGAAGATGATAAACGCACCAACCTCCTGAGGGAACATGTAAAGTACTTCGCAACAAACTGTACCTTCGCTCCATCAAGCGTTTATGAGATCGGCGAGAACTAGCATAGCGAGCGTAGAGGAGAGAGCTTGTGTGTGTGTGAATATGAACACAGCTCTGGAGAAGGAGATCAGAGGACGTTTAAGTTAAAAATATGATGGAAATCATGGAAATTTGAACGTCATGGCTTACGGACACTTGGATGACACAACAGGAGCAGTATCAGCATTTTAAAAATATTTTTTCTGTTTTAAACGTTTGAAGAAGTGGTCACTAGTAACTCAAATTGTATTTGATTTGATCGCTGTTCACCCCTGAGACTCCAGAAGTGTTTCGTGGACACTTCACCCATGAGCGAATTTTCATTTTTGGGTAAACTATCCCTTTAAATGATTTTTCCCAATCCTGTCTCCCTCAGATGATGGAGCATACTCTCTGTTCCGATGGTAAATATCATTTCCCCTCCATGCTTTGCAAGTGTCATAAGCTCTCTCAGCACAGGCTCTATTTATAGTGGAGTGGAGCTGTCACTCTCTGTGTGCTCTGCAGCCCGTCTCGCCGCTCTCTCATTAGAACTCCACATCACGACACACGCCGGCCAAGTCTGTGGACGCTCTGCATAATTCATGGGTCAGAGACTCATTCAGGAGCATGTGTTTTCCTCACACACACATGTGCACGTCACACATGATACAGTTAATAGTGTGATGTTTGGAAACAGATGGACACGTGAATAAACATGTGCATAATCCTGGGTGAAACAAAAACATACGTGTTCATATGGAAAAGGAAAAACAAGACACTACAGGTAAATGACATAAACATTTGATAACAGATATAAACATGAATCTATGAAATGTTTATTTTCCAATAGAGGTTTTCTTAAAATGTATGTTTACATATGCCATAATGCATTATTTCCAGTACTGGATTAAACCACAAATATATATATATATATTAATGATATATGAACAGACCTCTTTGTAAGAACCTTCAGAATATAGAAAGATGTAGATCTAGAGATTGAAGATTTCTGATATTTGAAATCTAGAGACACAAACTGGATTAGATTAAATGCCTATATCTGTATTTTGGATGTTTTCTCTCCAGTAGTCTGGAAGAAGGATAGATATGAGGCAAAATTGACCCGTGCCTGTGGTTCTCACCATGCGTTGGTGTTTAAGAAGTTTCCTCCTGACATTTGCTGACGATGAGTTTTACTTTTCATCTGTTCCTATCTGCAGGCGAGGCGGCCGATCGGTGTCTTTCTGTGGACGCGACTTGTCCCTGCTCCCCTGAGATGGTAATGAGGTTCTCCCAGCAGGCTCCCTGTCAGCGCCCCATCGTGTGGCCTCATCTCTTTTAGCACCGCGCAGCAAAAACAAAGAGGTGGGTGGCGTCCATTCGACCCAGCGGTCCACCCAGACCAACTGTGCTTCCAAAGAGTGCAGGCGTAAGTGTTTTCCAGCAATGCAAATGAGCAGGAACATTAAAATACACAAGTGCACAGAAGAACGGGGGCTGTGTTAAGAATATGAAATCACAGAACACACATCATTTGATTTTGTCACAGATTCACACAGTGACACAAACTCAAATACCTTCCTGCTTTCAGGCGCCGGGTGCAGGTGAGACACGCCTGCCAACGTTCCCTAGTTGGAGCACTCGTTTGCATATGCAGATGTTAATTACCACTGGAGCTTGTATGGGCCAATCAGCAGGCTGCCGGAACAGCTTGTGCAGTACCCCCCCCACCACCACCACAGGTCGTCGTTTCCACGGTTACTCCCCTGGCTGATAATAAAGATAATCACCACCGTTTTCCTTCATGGCTCATTTTCTCCTGCTCGCTTCTGAAAGGCCAGAGCGCCGCTGTCTGATTTTCCACGCTGAGCTCTTATCTGCACGCCAGGGCTGAGGACTGGGGCGGGGGGCCAAGTCCACACACCACCTGCCACACACCCACCAGAGGGGACAGATTCGTTCAGTCACAGTCTCTGATGCGGAGCGGTAATGAGTGTGAGATCATCCATCCGGTGTGGTGTAATTGTGGTTAGAATAAAGGCCTGGATGAGAGCGGGGTCAGATCAGATGAGATCAGGTGATGGCTGTTATCACACAGAGCGACAAGGTGCTGAGTCCGGCCTGTTGGGCGACGATGAAGGCAGGGTTTCAAAAACCTTGAAATCAAGGCCCGGGAATCTAAATGGATAGAGAATATCCATCACATACTTTCAGAATTCTAAACTCTTCATGGTTAAAATGACATTTTACATCATCTCTATTTGTCATCACTAACTTTTTATCTCTGTTAACCACAATCTGTTGTCATTACACACTGCCTGTTGCACACTGCACACCTCTTAAAGCAAGCCATCTGTTATCGGCCAATACAATAGATCCAATTCCCGCTCACCGTCTCCCTCCCTTCGTTCGGTCTCCTTCCCCGTGCTTCCTCGAATCCATTGTCCAGATAGAAACGTGCCTGGGATAGCAAGGCTTTGCTTTCGGCACACTTCTTTGAGAATTATTTAAGGCCTCGGAGTTTCTGTGAAATTAATATTTGATGTGCAGGACCTGAGCGTCTCCTGACGAGCCAAGAGCAAGACTTCAGAGAAGGACTGGGTTGAGGTGTATAGCTCCCTGCTTCAAAACACACACACACACACACACACACCACTCATCAACATACCCCCCCCCAAAAAAATTTGGGATTTTGTTATTGACTGAAAAGGTGTGAAGGTTGTCTGAACTGATCTCAGATGCATTTTGTCTCTTCTTTTATTTGTCTTCTTCCTCATTCTTTTGGCTCCTTCAAGGTCCTTTTCTATCTGTGGATCTCTCATCCTCTGTACCTCAGTGTACGACATGTTGACATGTGTACGACATGTTGACATGTTGACAGGATCATGGCATCCGTCCATTCCATGTTTTCAATGAAGAGGTAAAGAAACCTAAATGAATCTTTGGTCTTTCCTGTTGCCACAAGAGAGCAGAGTTGAGTCATTTAGAAATGTCTTCTCCCCGATGTCCTTAAGCTCAATGGGTTTTACAACCCTGGTCTTTCAGCGCCATCTCGTGGTAAATGCGTGGAAGAGCTTTGAGGCTA